AACCTGTTAGGAGTGTCTGGAGAAACTCCACTAGAGATGTAGGAGTGCTGTTCATCATCTCAAGATCTGACGCATGTGGTGGCCATGCTTGACTAATATCTTGGTTCCGAATATCACCTGTGATCTTCAGTGCCACTTGCGATATGATGTCTTCGCTAATGCTTGAAATTTCAACCGTCTTAAACTACTTCGCATCTCCACACACTCATCAATCTATTTTTAATTACTCACAAAGTTCTTATTTTATAAAATAGGTATCAAATGAAAAAGTGGACCTTCTGCTTCACAGTGATGCTAGTAGATTGCTGGTAGAACAAAGATGGTCTGAGTAATCTTGATTTGAAAAATCTAATTAAAATAAAACAAAGTTGCAATCATCGGTCATTTCTTCACTCATTTTCGCACTGCAGAGTCATAGCTGAATAAGTTGAGAAGTGCCTGTAGCCTCCAAGGGTAACGCATATCAAAATAAACAGCAGGACTCACCTTTTCAGATGAACATAGTGGCTTATCTGTACAACGAGGTATGGAGGAGTAATCTGAAACTTTTGAAACTAGCACCAGTCGTTGTTGTTGTTGCATAATATTATTTCATATACAGTACATACATATTTTTTCAAATTGCTAGATCATGGATTGTCCCACCATCATGGTTCTGATATCACCAGATTACAGACAGTCTTGTCTATCCATATCTGAAAAGATACCCCCCTTAACATCAATATCTTTTGAGATAGATTTACAAATATAATAATTTAGTAGATGCAAAAATATTTTTCTTTAATATGAAGGCTAATACAAAACGTATACCACATATATCATGTCAAATGATGGCAGATCTGGATAGCCCTGACTGTCCTGAAAAAATAAACATATAGCATGTATGGCTACCTCTTATAATAGACTTCATTCAAACCTGCGGGGCAGATACTGTAGGACGATAATGGCAATAATAATGATTGTCCCAAAATATTAGTAAAGCTACTCATTTGAAAAGGTTATCATGTTTCAAAGTACTTATATGGACTCAACAAACAAACTGGTACCAAAGAGATTTTGCCACCTTAGGTGGTACCAAATTCTGGCTTGGCCCATGGACTATATGGCTACAGGCGATAGTCATGAATAGAATACGGGCTCAACTTCTACTCGATCAGCTATTGCTACTACATGAACAGGATATTTAGAGACTCACACCTGTTAGTTAATCCCAAACATTGAGAGTGTGAACGTAGCTTTGTTGTCAATGGTGGAAGAGATATTTTATCTCTTGTATGGACTTGGAAAATAGTGCTCAACTTATATTTTACTTACCCAAAGTCGGGCTCAGACTACAGGAGTTTTAGGCCGATTCATCTCTGATTACCCATCCAGACAATCTGAGAAAAAATCTTGTCCAGGACCTTGGTCGGTTACGATGTTAGGCTTAGATTATCTGGTAATGTGAGGTCGTTTATAGATCTTCCGATCCGCTCACAGTCACATCGGGGCCACCCCGATAATGTCAAACAAATGTGATTTTAAATCAGGATGATTATAACTATGATTACCTCAGCACTTTCACAATAGCCAATGAGAGACAAGTTTACAAGGAGACAGATGGAATGAGAGAAGTTACGCAACGGAGACCGCAAAACAAGCTGGTGTACCGCTGCCTGTGTCTTCAAAAGCGTACTACAACTGTACGGACAAAAAGAAGATCTGTTTCAAGGATCAGGATGAAATTCAGTTGCAGGCACAACAAAAAATCAGTTTGGTTATAGATAATTAGCACACAAATGGTCAAAAGCAATCAACAGGAAATATTTAAAACCCAACAGAGAGCATTGGGCAGCTCAATTCCCAGGCGGCCTTCTGGGGAACGGGAGGAACACATAACGGGAAAGGCTAGGCCGGGCAACGCTTCTGGCTGGGAGATCGCTGGTGGGCAAGGACTGGGGTGAGAGAAGCCGGTCCTTGAGGAGAAGAAAGCCTGCCAGAACAGGAGCAGAGGGCAAATGCAGTCTAAACTGCTAGACAGAGAGGAAATAAAAGAAAACAAAACTGGCACTGTTGCCTAGAAACAGGACACTACACGATGGGCATGGGCGACACGGGCAACCGCCCAGAGCCGCATCTTGACGGGGGTGACACGGGGCGCCAATTAACCTTAAAGGTGCTCTAAGCGATGTCACACGTTTTTTAGGCCAAAACATTTTTTGTAACATACAGCAAACATCTCCTCACTATCCGCTAGCTGCCTGTCCCCTGAACACACTGTAAAAAACCGCGATCTAACTAAAAACAAACTGGGGTAACCCGCTCCACGAAACAAAACAAACAGTGTTCCAGCCAATAACCGACAAGAATGATTTGGGGGTGGGGTTAGTGATGCATTCGTGTAACAAAAATATCTATTTTTAAAACTTTATCGACTAAAATTACTAGCTTCTGGGAGACGATCGTACGCAAGTCGTCTTGCGCCAAAAGGGTAACACTTGACGATTTATGACGCAGAATGTAGCAGTAGTGTAAGCTTTGACGCCTCTCGCGGTTCAAACAAACAGGGCTGAGCAACAAACTCAAGCTCCTCTGACATTTCTGTTTAAAAATTGTCGTTTTAGACTTCTAATTCGTGACTGGTGTTTTGTTTTGCTCTATCCTCTGCGCTTCGTCATTACGTTGTGCGTCAAGGTCAAGGTCTTTCGCTTCACTGCAGAAGGCCTTTATTAACCGTGGAGCCGTGTGGTAGAGGTCTTCTCGGGTCCTAAAAACTGTACCCGACCCGAATCGACCCGAATCACTACTTACCCGAACCCGACGTGCATAAATTATTTTTTTTAAAGAAAAACCCCGACCCGAGACAGACCCGATAAAATTAGAGCCGAGTCCGACCCGACCTGACGGCATTTCCTTTAGAACCCGACTGGACCCGAACGTAAACGGCATTTACATTGTGCACAGCCTGCAGCCCTGCGTTTCTCAAAAATGCACTTAACATAGACGCGCAAGTGTAAGCGCGCTGAAGTGCTAAAATGTCAATCACACATCACTGTAACCCATTACGTCCTATAAAATTTGGCATAATGTTATTTACCGGTCCATACGAGGATTAGAACCACCATTCGTTTTCCCTGACATTTTTCGCAATTTCTGTTATCGCCTCCATGGTTTTCTGACAGTGTCGCGCATTTTTAAAATTGATTGACAGGCCTGGCTAAACGACAATTCAAATACTTGCATTTAGTCAAACATCCATCCACATGATGGCGCACTAGTTCTTCTTGGCAAAGGGAGGGGTTGGTTTATGTGGAGCGAGCAACTGAGTAAATAAATGCGGAGGCAACCGTGCTTATGCTTATAGCCCATTTGCACGTAGAAGCGCGGATTCGCTCTCTCACTTAGAAAAAGTGAGAGAACGGTGTCATAGAGTTGTTTTAAATACTGCAATTTTCTTAAATCCCCAACATAGTTTAAAAGAATTCGGGTCTTCTCGGGTCCATTTGGAAAAGGCATATTTATTTTAAATTACCCGAGACCCGAGGCCACTAATACCGAACCCGACCCGTGTCCGAGACACTCGTCGGAGTTTTGGACCCGAACCCGTTCGGGTCTCGGGTCGGACCTCGGGTTTTCGGATCCAAGTGGACCCGTGAAGACCTCTACCGTGTGGGTTACTTTTATCATGGATGGAGGCACTTTGATGGACTTCAAAAAATATCTTGCCATTTCACTGCCATTATAAAGCTTGGAAGAGCCAGAACATTTTTTTTTATATAACTCTGATTGTATTCGTCTGAAAGAAGAATGTCATATACACCTAGGATGGCTTGAGGGTGAGTAAATCATGGGCTAATTTTTATTTTTCGGTGAACTAACCCTTTAACAGATATTAAAATCTGCATTTAAAATCTCACCTCCAGTTCTCACTAAAGAACAAACGATATACGTTTTGTTTACATCCGCTTCCGCATGAGATCGTGAGGTGCTCCCTCTGGGATGCTAATCATAATAATATCTTGTAGTGTGAGATGATTTTCGAAACTTGAAGTGTGCGTATGTTTGAAATTTGAGAGAAGACAATCAGTAAAGATTATCCTGATGTTCATGATGCAACCAGATTTCGTAATTTAAAGGATTTAAAAACTCCCGTAGTCCGAGCCCAGCTCAATGGTGGAGCTTTTTGTTGTTTTAGAAGATAGTAATTGGTAAATTAACTATTACTTTAACATAACGGTAGTTGCAATTGTACACAAACACAAATTGCAGCCTATAGATATGAAGAAAGAAGTAACACTTATATAAATTACTGCAGTGTGTTTTATGATTTTATAGATGAACGTGTTTTCCAGAGATCCAGCATGGTTTAATTGAACGTTTCAAATGCCATCGTCTGTAATCATCTTCAACCTCATCTTCCACATGTGCATTTCAGTCAAAGGAAAACATTTATCATGAGACCTTATCCACACTCTGTAATAATCCGAAGGGTGGCTTATATTAGATCAGCGGTTCCAAAATTGGGTCACAGGTCAGTTCTGTTCAACAAACTCTCGAAACAGTTCATAAATGTTTTACGTTTTGGTCAATTGGTAACTAACTTGCATGAATTTGCACATTCTCACTCATAAAATTTCATTCAATTAGCTTAAAACCCCACTGACAAGTTTAGGGGTGAACCTTCATGTTTTTTCTTAAAATCGTACAGAGCACATACGTATCGAAATCAGGACCTTGTAAAATAGTTATGTGTTCTCATGAAATTGAGATGGTTCCAATAGGATTTGCAGACGGCAGGGGGAAATAATGTTAAATGCTATGCTGCTTTTCTTCAAATTCATTTGTCACTTGATAAAAGTGAGGTAACATGACCAACATCGGGAAAATACAGGTTTTAAGGACTATTTTGTAAACAATTTTTGGTATTGTGTTGAGTCGCTTATTGATGTCCAATGTAAAACCATTTGAGAAATGCACCACGTTCAATGACGGACATGAACAAAAAGATTGACAAGTTCTACTCATTGTGAAATGGTCACATTTAATGAACAACTTCTCATTTTATATACATCTATAAAAAGAACCCAGATACAGGTTACAAGAATCTAAAGCTAATACATACATTATTAAATAATAAACTTTTTCTCATGTTAAAGATACATATCATAGTTTACAAAATATGATCAAGGAGAATTAAGCAATTATGGTTTGAAAAAAACAAAAAACAAACCACAAACAAATAAACAACCAAAAAAATCTAAGGTTCTAAAATTATATTTTGTTCAATGATAACCAAAAACAAAGTGTCCTTGAAGAAGGTAGTATTAAACTGTGATACTGACTAGAAAAGTCTGCTAAAAACAGATGGCGAAAGGCAAAGAGTCGAAGAATGAAAATATGGTTCCGAATGGTGCTTAATCTTCAGATGGTCTGACACGACACATTGTTCTTCCTGTTACAAAAGGTGGTCCAGAACAGTCCAAACCAATTTGTTATTTACAGTTTCAACTTCTCTGTGTTCACGGGCCAAAAAAAAAAAAAAAAAAATGCTAAAAGAAAAAAAAGAGGGAAACAAAAGGAATACAACTGATATCAAATGATGGCCTTCAAAATAAATGTGTTACTCCTCGGTCTTTGAAGCTTGGGAAGATTTTGTACTGCCAGTTCCAATTCCTTACAGACACAGGTTTGGGGAAGCTAGGGATCATGGGGAAAAAAAGAAAAACAGTCCAAGTCTTTGGCATGATGAGTTAGCTGTATGTCGTGGAAATCAATGTTACACAAAATGAGCTTTTTCAGTCCTCGGAACAGTTTGAAAGATCGAAATGGGTGGAAAAATCTTATATGACAAACAAAGATGAGGTGAATTAATTTTGTTTGTGTTGTTCTTGTGCTGCCAGGCAGGTGAGTCTCGTGTCCCCAAATCTTTTGCTCCCCTGGGGTTCGGGTCCTGTGTCTGCGTCTGGTCTGGTCTGCCATCAGCTGTCATCGCCAGAGATGTTGAAATGCTTTATTGTTCTTTTTGTCTTCCTTTTGTAATTGTCAGCATTTATTAATCTTTCTAGGTCTTTTTTCTTTCGTGAGAAAAAGAACTTGAATTAAATTATCAATGCACGATATCTATTAACATGTGCAAAATAGAAATAGAAGACTCCTCATTTTTTTTCCACAGGAATGAAGCTTACACATCTGAAAACAAAGAAAAGAAAATATGTGTTAGATTTGTGCTGAAGTATTTATGGAATTTAATGCATTGTGTAATGGATTTGTTTATCATCTCATTCACTTAAGGGCCAAGATACGAGTGTGTGTATATATATATATATATATATATATATATATATATATATAAACAAAAAGTCAAACCAAAAATTATTCAGACACCAGATATAATTGTTGATATTTTTTTACTAGTGGGTGCAAAACACTATAGTTCATTAATGTAAGTGAGGATAGCAAACTAAAGTAAACTGTGACATATTATACCAAGAAATTCTTCATACAGTGGACTACCAGTAAAATTTAGAAAAATTTGGGACCAAAAATTATTCAGACACTTTGACCTGACCACGTATTCCTTACGTGCTTTTTCTTTAATTGCTAATGTGACCTTTTTACACCACAGACTGAAAAAAAATGAAGAATTGCTTGGTAATTGGTTGACCTAAATTGGTATTATCTAATTGTGTACTTACATTTAACAGCTTACAGCTATTCAACCTAATTCATTTGTGAGACAGTCAAACAGAAGGATGGCCAAAACCAATGAAATATCAACTGATTTGATAACTCTGAGCTCTTGTCATATTTTATTACACTTTTCTAAACTATAGCGAATAAACTGTGATAATGACAGTATGTATGTACAACCCAAAATCAATATAGTGAACTCCTTAACCGAATTTGAAAACATTCCCCAACTGAGCACTTCTATACAGCGGTCAGCCTACTACAGCATAAATTACTGACACAGTATTGCAAATGAGAACAAACAGGGGCCAATGAGAGCAATATCCAAATGGCTCCCACTTCATGCCAGTGGGAAGTTGTAATTGGTGAGCAGCCACCCGTGATGTTGCCTTTAATTTTGTCTTGGCTTATTACAGACTGACCAATTAAATCTTGCTCAGAACGGCTCAGTGTGCAGGTATAACGCGAAGGTATTTGCACGTACGAGGCCGTCTCGGGAGGGCGAACACATCCTACCCCCGAGGTGCTATCGTACACTTCCTCCTGCCTTCCAGCTCCATGCATGAGCTTGCTTTAATTAGAGATAGGCTCGTTATACTGTGTTGCTGAGTTTGAGATAACAGGCATGCTGTAAACATATGGCCCGAGCGCTAATGAATCTCCAGCTTGTTACTCGACTATCTCCCCCTGCTTTCTGACTCCTGCAGGGGATCGATGAGGTTTATATGGCTGTAAGCATCAGTAAACGGTCCGTCCCTCAGTTTCTCAGGGGTTCTGGGTGGATTGTGCTGGTCTAATGAGCCAATTGTCTCTAGTCGCTGTCCTGTATTCTAACCCGCTGTCAACAATCTCTAGTTTTTTCCCAGATGAAAGAGGGCTGACCACACTGCAATTGTGTCTAAGAATGTCCTATTTCACTTAATTACAAAAAGGCCCAATAGTCTTTTGTTTTGAGAGTGGAACTCAGTAGTCTGTTCATTAAGTGTAGTACATGTGACTTGCGAGAGTGATACAAAATCACGTTAAGCAAGGACTGTGGCCATGTGCACGATGTTAAAGTCTGAGTGGACTTAAGACCACTACCTCCAAGACTCAAAACTAGACTAAGACCTAAATCAATACCAGACCCATGAGACCTAAATCAATACCAGACCCTTTAAGACCCAGAGCAAAACCAGACCCCTTAATTACCTACATCACTACCACACTACCAATACCCAGACCAGACCTCCTAAGACCCAGATCAATACCAGAACCGCCAAAGTCCAAAGTATACTTCGCGTTCCGGCTCGCAAACTGTCTGATTGACGTCATTTTAACCATCAGTACAGTCCATGTATAACAGCGCATGTGCAAGTGATCTATCCATGCTCATGGTCAAAGGAGTCTTCTTTAAAAGGCTTGTGCGCTCAACTGTGTGCGAGACGGGACGTAATGCAGAAAACAAAGTATACCATCTTAAGACCAATACCAGACCCCCCTAAACCAATACTGTGACTCAGACAAATGCCATACTGTACCAAGACCCAGATTAATATCAGATCCACTAAGATCCAGACCTAGGTCAAGACCAGACCTTTCAAGGACCACATCCAGACTCTATTTTAATGAACTGAATCAAGAAATTGGTACATTTATTGCAGCATTCATTTCTAATATAAAGAGACTTTGGGCCCTGTCATATACCCGGCGCAATGCGGCGCCAGGTGCGACAAGTGTTTTCTGCTAGTTTCAGCCCGACGCAGTTATCATTTTCACATCCTGCACCACGATGTTTAAATAGCAAATGCATGTGCGCCCATTTGTTCACCCATGGGCTTCTGGTCTGAAAACGAAGTGTGTTCAGGCGCATTGTTGGCACGTTGCTATTTTGAGGCAACTGAAATAGACTGCGCCATTGATCGACTGAAACCTGGTCTAAAGTCAAAGTTTTTGTTAAAGAGCACGTTAGTAATGTGAGCCTTTAGGTGGGTTCACAACGTGCGTACACTTTGTCCCGTAGATGGTCTGCTTGCCCGCTTTAACCTCACACACAAGCAGATCCGTTTCCTCTCTGGAGAAGCGTTCAGTTTTTCCGCTTGCAAATTCCGCCATGTAAATAGCGAATCCATCATGGCGCGAGCGCAACTGGCTTTTAAAGGGAATGGGAGATGAGACTCTGATTGGTTTATTGCACGTTACGCCCAAAACACACCCATTACTCATTAAGAGAATAGGGACAACCCTTTTAGACTATGCACCGGGCGCGCCGACCATTTTTTCCCTCGTTAAACTAGCAAAAGTGGATTCGGACACGACCTAAGTGCGCTTGTGGCGTGTGCTTTAGACCATGCGCTTAGATCGCTAAAATAGGGCCCATAGTAAAGTGGTTGAATAGGCATTCTTCTGGATTCTCCGTAAAGCCCCGTACACACCGGGACGAATATCGGCGCGCGTTATTCGTCAGCGTTTTTAAACGCGTTTTTTGTGTTCACACCCAAGCGATTTTCGCTGACGATGAGCTGAGTGAACATGCCAATTCATTCCCTGACATTAGATGGCGCTTAATGTAAAACAGAAATAGTCCTATTTTGTAGTCGCTGTCGCGTCTGTCATATAGTTCTTTATGTTCCGACAGCAACGAGACCAGCAGTTCTACATTCATCTTGCCTTGCATCTTCCTCGTCTTATTTCTCCTCGGCAGTGTAGGCGCTACTTGGCGTATATCTTCTTCGCCGTTACGTATGTGTGCTCGGCAAGACCGTTTTGTGTTTGAGCGCCCCCAAGTTGTGTTTTACTGTAACTTCAGAAGCTCCAGACACGTGAGCAAAAGCGTCAATCTCATTGGTCGGATAGTTTTTGACGCAGCGCGTCAAACCAAAAAAACGAACCCGAGGCGTTTTTTTTTTTAAAATGACGCTTTTACGTGTGGCGTTTTTCGTGTCGGTGTGCACACTCACATTGGCGCCCTTTGTTTAGTCACGAGGCGTTAAACGTCAGCGAATATCGCATGCGAAATTCGTCCCGGTGTGAACAGGCCTTAATGGTGAAGATACAGCACTAACTAGTGGTGAAGTTAAGTATCACTGTGGTACTGTTTGAGATCAAGCATTGTTCAGCCAATTTTCGCGGGTGAAATCTTGTCATTTCAAATGGAATCCATGCAATAGGGAATTTCACATGAGGGCAAGCGATTTCCCCACACAGAATTCGCTAGCGGTTCAAGTTGGTCGCCATGTTGACCAGCAGAAAGCTGCTTTGTTTAAAAGTGACTTCTCTGTGAGCTGTACTTTATATATAACTACACTATTGACAATGGACCTTTTTGCCTGCAACATTTCGCCAACATTTTGTGAGCGCACCTTAAGACTAATTTTTATATTTTTCGTTTAGGACATTGACTGATCAGACCTAGACCAAGGTTGTTTATTTTATTTTATTTTATTTTATTTTATGTGGTCTATAGAGGTCTCAAGACCTTGACCACAAAAACAAGACTCCAACTCTGACAATGAGGCGAACATAACACAACTTTAGTTACTCACTGAGTTACAATATCTCTTTAATAAACTGTGCATTGGCTTCAACTATTAGTTAGTTATTGGTGTCTCAAGTGTATTGTCATTATGTATGGTACATAATTAGGAAACGTGTAGTCCATCTGCATGAATAAAGTGGTACTGTAAGCCTCTTATAATTTATAAATGCTTGCACATTATGTTCGCACATTGCTCATTGTTAATACCTCAGGCATTGTTCAATTGTTTCATTGAAAGCTTGCGATCCTTTCTCACATAAGAACAGGGAATGAGATGTTCATTCTGGAAATAGCATTGCAATGATGTCACATACCACATGATGGACAGCAGGACGCAGGCCAGGAGCAGGTGGGTTGACCAGAGAAGGGTGGAGCAGGCCGCTGTGGGTTTACCCACTCGCGGTGCGGCCGAAGGCGGACCAGGGGTGGTTTCTGCCAGGGAAGAAGAAAATGGTCACTTTTTAAACAGGAAAGGGTTTGTATGTCCTTGGTTCAAGTACTATACACTGCATGGGTGAATGACTATCTATTAATTTCTTCAAAAATACAATAAAAATGAAATTCATACATACAACGACTTGAAAAGAATTAGCATGTTTTAAATGTATTATTATATGTATTAAATTTTTTATGTTTTTGTTGGATTTTGAAATAAAAAAAGTGTCATTTGGTGTGAACAACAACAACAACAACACCCTGCAGACCCTCATACTGGAAAAAAAAAAAAAACACATTTGAAACTCCAAACAGTATGTAAAAACAAAACGAACTGTGACTGGTCACTTTACATATCATTTACATTTATGCATTTGGCAGACGCTTTTATCCAAAGCGGCTTACATTGCATTTCAAGAAACACATTTACATTCTTATCAGTTCTTGCTTTCCCTGGGAATCGAACCTATGACCTTGCCGTTACAAGCGCCAATGCTCTACTATTTCAGTTAGGCAGTCTCTTCCTGTTGCATTGGACGGGTCCTGGCCCAATAACTGGACCAGATTTGAAACCAAGAGTCAAAAGCCTGGTTACATGAGACAATCAACTTAATAAAATAAACTTTTTAATTGTAACTCATAATACAATAGAGTTAGAACAATATATTCAGTTAACTAAACAACTCCTAAACTACCGCTTGAACGTGTTCATGTTGTGCAATTGTGAATGTCAGAAGTGTAAGTAGATATTAGTTATTGTTTCAATATCGCTTGTTTATTTGTATTATTTGTGCAGTGTGACGATGTGTGAAATGACTCCCTAGAAAACATCTCAGATAAAGTAGAAAGACCTGTCTCGCACAATGACTCTCATCTCAAATTAAGCAAATAAAATGCTGAACTAACATGAGGCAATGGATGAATTATTACAAGGACGTTCTCCTGTTTTACCCAGGAGAAAAGAAAGAAAGCTTTTAGAGAGAGTGTTTTGACACACGGCTCACACAACCAGCATGCATTTCTGCTGACTTTTTGATTCCTTCCTCCGTTCCAAGTATAGTTTATAGAAACTCAATGCCGTCTGCTGGATCAAACCGAGCAGGGCAGCCGTCACTAGATATTACTTCTAATAACAGTCATAAAGCTATTTATAAAACAAAATGTACATAGACTATCACAAGGGTCTTCAAGACAAGATTCTCTTTGTCCGTCCCAAAATGGCTGTTGTACCAGTATTTGTAAATCCTAAACGTGGCTCAGCTAGTGACACTACTTATGATAACAGTCCAAACGATTAGACTCCTTGTTTACTTAGGGCTGTCACGATATATTTTTTGGCCAATGATACAAGTGTAGGGAGGTAGATAGAGAGTTTGAAACCATAACTGTACAAAAGTGTACTAAAAGACTTTATGCTGATCAGGATTTCCTGCTGACTAGGATGTTTAACACTCTGCCTTTTTAATGTAAAATGTCAAACTATATAGGAAACTGTGTTTCCTTCATTTGTCATCTCCTTTGACATGGTTTTGTGCGGCAGTACTAGCTTCACACTGCGTAATTGTCTTTTGTCTATTTCAACACTCTCTCATGGCAATTTGTGACTATTTTACATTTTGGAAAATTGATGGCTAATTCGTATAGTTTTTCTAATGATTGTACATTTTTGTACGATTCTCATCATACAGATCATATACAACATTTCCACCTCTTTACATAGTTACATTTTCCTGTAAGATCAGGTTGTTCATTTTATGACAGATGGCAACCAGTGCTAAGGTGCAATACCGCCACCTACTGTGTTGGAGAGTCAACAAATTGGCGCAGGATTATTTTTGAAATCATGTATGTCGTATTAGTGGTGGGCGAAGTACACAAATCAAGTGCTTGAGGAAAGGTACAGATAACCTTATAAAATATTACTCCACTAATTGTATATAGTAAAGTAATAGTAATAGTAAAGTACGCCCTTTCAATTTTACTTGGGTAAAAAAACAAAACTACTTGATTTTGAATGTACTTGTGTACTGATCAATGAACCGTTTATTTATTTAGCTATTGTATATACTTCATCCTACAATAAGGAGGATTAGTGGATGCACTGATGTATTAATCTGCAAATAAGTGAACATTTTATTTTATTACCAAAACTCTCGGTGACAGAGTTACATTTTTCAGTTTGAAATAATGGGGAACAATATTGTTTTATGAAATATAATGGAGTAAAAACTGCCCACCACTCTGTAGTATTAACATATCATCAATATTTCATTCCTTAAATACCACGGTTATCGTCAATACGGTATATTGCAACACCTGTAATTCGTGAAATACATTGTACAGTTTAAAAAAACCCTGAGCATTAGCTCAACTGGGGAGACATGACTGACAAAAAAACTCAGAAAAAGTGGATATTACAATGAGGTGGTATTCCAAATCCATTTACTAATATCATTCTATCATTTCACGGTAAAACATAATTTTCAGTGAGAAAAAAAAGGAAGTTATGATTAAATCCATCAGGAAAGATTGGATGGTCAAAAGTGAGTCCTAGCAGACTCCAGACCTAGCAAACCTTTAAAGTGGATTATAAAGGAGTTTTTTAAAAGCTTTTTGACTGAGATATGGAGGCTGAAGGCCAAGTTACAAAGAGAATATCAATGTATCCCATTTTGTTTTCTTTTGGATAACTTGGACTTTGAGGTAGGGTTGATTTTGAGTTCATACTGAACAGACATATGTGTCCCTCAAGGGGTTTTGCTGGTGTCCGATTAAATATGGCATCTACTTTATTATTTTCATTCATAAACTTAACATAACCTGATGTTAATTCATCATTAACCTAGGAGTGCATCAACTATTCATTTGTTGTTAAACCTCTCTGACAGCAGAGGGCAGCGTGACTGTGAGATGCAGGGCTATAGACACTGTCTCCTCATTATCAGTCACTATTATTGTTTTATGAGAGAACAGAGATCACAGAGGCAGACAGAACTGTCATTACGGTGAATAGGAGAGTAGGCATAGGGTTGACAGCTCATGCATACCTGGGATAACGTCGCTCTCAGTGGTGGAGGTTATGGGTTTGGGTTCCTCCATCCAGGGGGTGGCGTGAACCGCCACGCTCCAGTCGCTCCAAGTGCCGATCTCCATGTCCTTGGCCGCCAGTTGGATGATGTACTCTTTCCCCGCGTAAGCGTCGGTAATGGTGTGGGAGGTGCTGTCGGAGAGCTCCACCTGTCAATCAATAACAAGAGAGCCAATCAGGGATATGGAACTTATGGGAATGATGCGTGCTGTTGAGATGATTACATACGAGATGTATGCGATGTTGAGGTGTAGTGAAAGAGATTGGGTGGGTGAGGGGTCTTCCTGTTCGTGGACTTCCACACACCTGAGGACCACCTGTGGACTCTTTGGTGTCTGAGGGTAATGAGGTTGAGAGGGTCACTTGACCACAACAGAGGAGGGGGCGCAAAGAGACTGGGAAGTCCCGTGCATGTCTTTGAGGAGCGGGGGAATTTGACTAATGCACTGCAGCTGAGGCCTGTGGAGGGAGATGAGTGATGGCAGAGACGGCCCAGCGTCTGTGACTCATCCCGAGCATCCATCACTGGCCTGTCCTGCACTGCCGAAGCTCCAGTCTGGAACTCGAAATCATGTGCAGTTGCTCAATCTGTGCTTTTCTCGCTCTTTATCCGTCATACAGCAGGACATGGGGGGAATTCACTATCAATTCACGAGTTGGAATTTGAATTAAATTGACCTTGACCCACAAGATGTTGAATTGGAATAACAGGAATATTTAATATAGTCACATAACAGAAAGGATGATGTACACTGATGTACATTTTCTCAACTAATAACACATTGTTTGAATATAACATGGTTAGTTCCAGTCCTTGATTCTGATTAGTCAATAGCAGTGTTTTATTCACGAAACGCTCCACCAAACGGTTCTATGTATCACTACACAACACCCCCCCCATAGCAACCACTCTTAGCAAAGTAAACATATGTTCTCATTGATATTGTTCATTGAAGCTCATAGAGTAGAGCATTGTGAGAGATTGGGTAAGCGAGTGTACCTGCATTTACAGTAGATATCGCATTTTCCTTCAGGTTAGTCCTATATTCGTAATAAAAATCCGTTTGAATGTGCGCTGCGATATCTTGTCCTTTTAACTGGGTTTTCCCGTGCCCTGACACGCTAATCATTTGTCAGTTGCATCTTGCTTCTCTGTGTTCACAACAAGTTCAGTCCTTTCAATATAGTCCAATACAGGTTTCCTGTAGCTCAAGCAGTAGAGCAATGGCGCTTGCAACGCCAAGGTCATGGGTTTGATACCCAAGGAAAGCAAGAACTGCGTACCTTGAAATGCAATGTAAGTCACTTTGGATAAAAGCGTCTGCCAAATGTAAAAAATGAAATATTTGTGTCGTGCCCAAGCGGCAACATTCTAATCTGAAAAATGAAGCCTACCCGGAAGTGCGAAAAACTGCAATACATCGAAAATCCGCTAGAGGGAGGTCCCAAAAGGGAGCAAATATCCATAGACCCCATGTTAAAATGTCTGTTTTCACAGCATAAATTCATGTATTTACAGGTTGGTCCCATGGACTTTTATTGTATTTTTCGATAGGTTCCGAGTGTCTGACAACTGTGAGGGGGGTGAATTTTTTTTTTCTAACTCGTTAGTTTAGATCGTATTTAGATATAAAATGTATGACAAATAAGGGCGTGGTTAACTTTGATTGACAGCTTGATTGACAGCTGATAACGGGCTGCGTCGAGTGGAATTCCTGAAATTTGACGTCTCAGCCATGATCTGACACAACACATCATACCACCCCTCTGTATCCTTTCTGAACATTTGTATTGAAATATCGTACATAACATGGGTTGCTCTGCTATAAAATGCACTAACCGACACTGTAGGACTAGGAGTACTTCGCTCCTTTTTTTCCGGTAAGTGACATTCCACTACTATTTCACGTAGTTAGCACTATTTAGCATCAATGTTTGTGGGCAGTGGCACTGCAACAGTTAGCATTAAATCGCCTCAGATAAGTAAGCGTCCGAGGTACTTTACCTATGGTTATAACTGACGTTTGAAACACTGTAAATGCGTCTGCCAAATGAATAAATGTAACATAAGAATAGACTGATCTGCGAGCTAGTTGGTCGTACGTCAGAGGCGCCCGCGCCATTGGATGTGCTGTTGCCGCAGCACAGCCTATGAGTAAGCTATGCAGCTGCAAATGCGTTTTACATATAGGCTTCAGTAAATCGAGGAAAAGGAGTTTCAACATAAGAATGATACTGGCTGTAAAAAGTAGCCTAGTCTGCTAGTCGATCTTGTAACGGTACAGATAGCTGAGGCTGCTTGGCTGAAGAGGCGCGTCCACCGGCTGGCTCAGTCTCACACAAAGCCCGCCCTTTTACCCATATATGGATTGGCCAGAAGGTGGGCGGGGTTAGGATTTCCCAAGATTTTCAAAAGATGGCGCCGCCCATACCCCCCATAAACGGCCTCAAAACCGTTCTTCAGAAAGTCAATGGGTGACGTCACAGACGCTTTGTCCATATTTTTTACAGTCTATGGTCGTGCCTAACAGCGCCCTTCAGCCATGACTTATTCACGATAAAGCACAGCCTTATTAAAACAACATATTGTACCTTATTGCTAACATATATAATTCTAAAGCAGCATTATACAAATGCATAGTGAGTTATTTAAAATATCATCTGCAAGCAGTTTGCTACCTCCATTAAAAATCTAATCAAATTCAGGAATTCAATTAAAAGGTAACAGGCGTTCTCAGTTCAATTCTGACCGGTGCACAGACCTCTCGCACTCATGCTTAGTAGAAATGAAACAGTGGGATGGAAGAATTACTTTGCCCACAAAGCAAGATCCTTCTGCAGTAAAGTGCAGAGCATATTTTCTGAACTATTACTTCATTGCCTCCCAGGTCTCCTAAGTGCCGCTGTACAACACAGAGAAAGAGTGAGCAGGAAAATTGGAGTGTGTTTGCATCGAGACTCAGAGAATATCTCATGTGCACCTGAGCTGCTCAGAACAAAGACCAAAAGAGCTTTTTTTTTCTTCACTGAATTTCCACTAGCACCGTCTGCAAGTCTTTCCATCTAGTGTGCGCTAACAAACACAGCCTGTGTGGCTGTTAGTCTCTGCATTTACATTTTAATTGAACTTTATCTTTCATAATTGGAAAAGAGAGCATTGCTCATTTCCCCAGTGCTCCTCAAAACCCACAAAACAAAAGCTGCATCCTTTTAATTTCAGACTAAACCACGTTCTCTGCGCTTTCCCACAAAGTGGCCACTGAGCACCTGGGCTGTCAAGCGTTTGATTCGATTATTATCAAACTGCAGCGTTTCGTCCATCTATTGTCCTATATTTAGAGTTGAAATAGACCAATATGGCCTTGAATTGCAAATGTGTGCTTTTCATTACCAAATTCCCATTCACCTCAACAGCCGCTTTTCCACCATCGGGCCAAACAGTTCTCGCTGCTTAACCGTTCCATTCCGCGCTGATCCGGCCCGGCCGGGACGGATATGGTTTCGTTTTCCATTGTGGGGCTGATAACGGAGCTCTTTGGAATGTAATACAAATGCGGCACTCGTGGCCTTGTTAACACAAGAGTTTACATATTGTATGAGATGTAAATAGTGATGGCATTATGGTGGATGATCAGGTATTTCTATTACTAACTTGTGTTTCCATCGCTCAAATGATTGATGACGGCGCTACAGATTCGACCAGCATGGTTCAGCGCGGTTAGCCAGCCGTGTTGAGAATTCCGGGCCAAGAAGGGTTTGTAATCGAACCAAACTCTAGTGTATAATAACGGGAACCGTAAACGTTCTTAGAACTGTTTTGTCCGATGGTGGAAAAGTGGCTAACGACAATTTCTCAGCTGTCATGGCTACTTTTAAATGGGGGCATTGGAGAAATAATGGTGTAGTTACGGCATCTACCAACTAAACCCTCAACCAATGGCGTGTGTTGCAACAATGGCAGACGGAGAGTGTCTGAGAAACGTGTCAGGAAACAATAATTTTTTAATTTAATTTGTTACATCAGCTGATTTTATTTGCAAGGCTGCTTTAAAACAACAGTTTTAGCCATTCAGATCAATGCATCTTTAATGTTTGATTCCACCTGTAATTCTGTTACACAAACCATTTCACAATTGCTGCCATTTTGTCAAAGCTGTCAACTCCCGAAATGGTACCGGGAGTCAAAATGTCCTTTGTAACCCCTGCACTTTTAAGACACTAGGCTATAAATCCACAAATAAAACACTACCATCGGTTACAAATAACAAGTTCAAGAAAATTCCTGCCTAAAATCAAACTTTAAAGGCCTAAAAAAATTGATCAACAGATTCCTGTTTGTCTTTTTTTGGATCAGGTAACATTGCACATAGTGCAGAGAGAGAGAGAGAGAGGGAGAGAGAGAGGAAGACGGATATAAAGAAAAGTCTGAGATAATATTAGAGAGAGCTATTTATATACCCATATCATTATGTACCAAATACGCTCTGACCCTCATACATGGATACGCCTCGACAATCCCAGACGCCTCACTGTATTCTGGGCCTCGTTCAGTGCGGCCAAAGCTCATAAATGAGATTAGGTGTAAGTTGTGTCATCGGAACAATGAGAAGAGGATTTCTCTCTTACATCGTTTATTGCAATCAGTGAAACAATGAAACAGCTGCACACTGGGTTCTTATGAGACAAGATCAAATCTCTATTTCCATGTGAATCTGAGCTTTTGTCCCAGCCAGCCTATTGGTTTCTATTTGTGTGGCACTACACTGAGTAGCCCCACCTAAAATGACATTTCTTTGGTCCAAAATCCACATGTAACTGTATATTAAACATTAAAGTCAAATGCTGACATCAAAATTGATGCTATTTATTTTCATAGCACATGTTACAGGTCTTGAATTAGTTTTTGGTACATGTTATTCCAAAGATAAACACCTGTATACTAATTTCCGATGAAATAAAAAATGTAATCCTCCCTACTTCTACATTGGTTGAGAACATTTCATGTTGACTTTAACACATTCACATTGGCTGTAATTTCTGTGTAGGCTTTTTGCTTCTAGTTGTTATTGGTAACTGAAACTATACACAATTAAAAGTTTCTGATAATTGAAATAAGATAAAATATGAATATTAGATGAACACCTTAAAC